GACGAATTCCTCGAACAACAAGCAAAGCTTATTCAGTCCAAAATCTCTGGTACTGAACCATCACCTACCATGCCATTTTTAATAACCCCTTCAGCTGACTACATTGTAGATAATGCCACTCAATTTCCTGTCAAGCCTGACGCTGGCATGACTCTTGATACTTGGTTTAGGCGCAATATGAAAAGGTTGTGACACTAGCCTTGGTAATATAATCAGATAAGGATTACCAAGGTAAATTAAGTGAAACAACAAATTGTTTTTGTACACATAGCGGGGGATTAAGTTTACGAATGGCTAACGCTTCGGCAAACTTCAGTATGCCCCCCTGATTATTCCTTTATATTATCTTTTTTCATATATAAATTGACTTAACAAGTAAATGTGTGATCAGATTGTTCGAAATGTATTGCGCAAATACACCACATTTTTCAGATAATCTTCGTCTTCTAATAGCGTTATCGAAAGTTATGTAGAGCATTTGAAAGTGGATACTGCTGGCCAAGATGGTTTCTGGCAGGTGTGGACCTATATATCTTGGGTCTGGATTTGTTTGAGAGCCTTGGGTTGTCATATGTGCCACTAAGCACTATATTTAATGAAGCCTTGGACCCATGGCAGCTTATTGATATAAGTCAACGCTTTTCAAACATCTCCGAGCCCCGTAGGCTGTTATACAAGATCTCAAGCTATACTACGCCTGCAAGACGGTGCTGCCTTTGCTTTCCGGCCCAAAAGACCCTCGGCATGTGCGTCATTACCACAAGTTGATACCGAAATGTAGTGTACCGCAAAAAAAGGTGTTCTTGCACCAGCTTCCCACTCTTTATGTGCAGCCACCATCGTGACAGGAAAAAAGACTAACGGTCCTATTCAAATCTGTGCTGATTTCCCGACTGAACTAAAGGCGGCCGCCGGGCAGCATCACTGCCCACCACCACCACTGAATGATGTCTTCACTGCTCCCGATAGTGGAACTCCTTTGGCTAAAATTGGTCTACCTGGTGCTCATGTACAAAAAGATGCCTGTATCTCGAACACTGACTGCTATGGAACGCAAGTATGGTCAGGTGGAGAAAGGTGACTTGGCCCTAATCTTCACTGTAATTTGTTTCTGTAAACCCACCTATGGTAGAAAACTCACATCAGTGACTAAACACCGACCCCTGTTGTCTGTTTCTGGATCAAAATCTGTGGCTCATCCTCGTTCTGTAAACCATCTATAGCGATGGGCATCAATGTTACGAGGATGTGATTTCAAGATCCAATACCCATGAGCTCCTAAATTTGAGTAGGTAGATGCTCTTTCCCGTTTAATAAGTGATTTTATTGGATCAAACTAAGATACGGTCATATCAAAAGTCGCCAAACATCCTACGTGACAGTGGATGTCAAGACACTTCTAATCACAGTAAGGTATATTCCGTTAGCCAAGCAAGAAGACGAGTAGTTACTACGGGTTATGGATTCTGTTTTCAATTGTTCGTCGATAGAATTGCTTGTTGGTGACCTACAACGGTTTTTCCAGAAAAGAACTTCTCTGCTTGTCGCGAATGATTGCTACATGTTCACAGATTGGGTCGTCATTCTTTCATCAGTTCGGAATCAGAGCGTACGTCAGTTTCATTCTAGTCATCTAGGTATTGAAGGCATTAAGTCAGTTGCTTGTGGCCACATTCGTTGGCTGCAGATGGGCCTTAAAATCGCAGACAATGTGAATAGATGTACAGAGTGTCAGTCACCAGCTAAACTTCCCCATGACTGCCACCAGTCTACTGGATACAGTCTGAACACCGATGGTCACGTGTTCGGGTCGATTTAGCTGGACTACTGGAGGGGAACCACTACCTGACTCTTGTTGATGCCTACTAAAAATGGCCAGAAGTCCCTCTCGTTAACCCTCCAACTACCATGCAAAACTTACAAGCTTTCGCTAACACTTTCTGTCGCCACGATCTGCTCGAAAACGTGGTTTCAACAACGGTCCTCGGTTCATATCTGCACAGCTAGAAGATCTTTTCCTGATACATGATATGAAGCACATGATATCCGTACTATTTTATCCATAATCAAACGGCCGAGGAGAACGATTTATGGACACGTCCAAGATAGCTATGCTCAAAGCGTGAGGGCGGAGGGATGTTCATAGAAATTATCCACAACCTTTTACTTCATCGGAGGTGCCACCACCTCCTCATAATGAGTCACACCTCTTGAAACATACGACTGCAATGTTCATGTTTGAGGACGTAAATTGATTTGTGTCTTACAACATATTTTCAATTCGATGACAAACTCTACAAACGGACAGTGAAACACCAATGGGATCATATATAACAAGACTAACTCCAGAAGTAGTAACGCAAAGATTGGAAACTTTGGTTTTGCTGTTGATCAAACCAAACTTTGGGTTCAATATGTAGATGGCACATTTGTCATCATGAAAAGAAAAGAACTGAAAAACATTTACATATCGATCACTAACATTTACGATGATATCAAATTTACAAGTGAAAGGGAATTACATAATAAATCTGCATTTTTAGACATCTTGATTACTAGAACGGTTTTAGGGAGATTGTAAACTGAGATATAAAGAAAACCACTTCATATGGATCAAATCCTCAACTACAATAGTAGCAGGCCAACAGCACACAAAATCAGTTGTATAAAAGCATTATTCAAAAGAGTGAAGAAACACTGAGGTACGGAATGTTTGGGAAGAAAAGAATAAAGCTATATAATTACTGTTTTCCAGAAGAATGGCTCTCCGTGTAACTTTATCAAAAGATGTTTGCATAATTCGTCGTACACCAAAAAGTCAGCCTCGAAACCCAACAAACGGATTGTCTTACAATACATGAAGGAAGTCTCTAAGATTACAACTAGATTATTGAGATCTTTTAGAATATCTATGGCTAGCAATACCACAGGATGTCTTGATTCCCTGTTATGCAGGTAAAAAGATGCAGTAGCAAAGAAAGACAAATCAATCATTATCTACAAAACAAACTGCGGAAAGCAGTACATCAAACAGAGTAGTCGCATTCTTCGAATCCATCTACGTGAACATCAACCATCAATGAAAAGTTATGACATATCTTCGCTCATATCAATGCAGATGGACAATTGTGGATATGAATTCGATCGGGAAAATGTGGAAATCCAGGATAACGGAAATACAAAGTATTCTAGAGAATTTTTATAAGTTTGGTTTTCAGGTCAATCAGAGATCAACAGAAATACTGATATTAATCCAACCTACCAATCAATAATAAACAACAAGAAAGTCAAAGTTCAAGTGAGCAGGAAAATGAATCGAAATAAATATGGGAACAATTTCAAGTCTTTTGCACAAACAGTCAATGGCATAGAAGGCCATTAAGAAAGGTATCAAGCAACTTGTAGAGAAAACGCTATAGCTCACTTCTTTCCGATGTTGTGTAAAATAGCATTGAAAGCCTCATGATTAAAAAACCCAGCTGAAAGTACACTATGTTCTCAAAATCATCCTCATGAGAAATAAATATTCCTCAGCCTATGAAAATTTTCCCTCCAATCTGAGGATTGCTACTACCTAGGATGAATTAGATATAGCAAACACTACCGAAGATTCTCACCACTAAAAGTAACAAACCTATTCGTAAAGATGACATTTACCTGTAAATCCAGAGATGATTATTATTATAATTACAAATTAGATGCTTAGCATTTAAATGAACTTTTTACTTCAAGTTGTTATTCATTGTAGACTGACATCAGTTGGAGGAACAAAGGAAACCTGGGAGCACTGGACAGCCGTTTCGTCCTAGTATGGGACTCCTCAGCAGTGCGCACCCACGACCCCATTGGGTGGCGGTTGCGCTATATATCGTGAGCTAACAGAAGTTGGAAATATGGGGCATTGGATTGTGACCCAGTGGCTCAATGGTAACGCGCCGGCCGAGGGACCTGAAGGTCGCAAGTTCGGCCCCTGCTGGTGGGGTCGTGGGTGCGCACTGCTGAGGAGTCCCATACTAGGACGAAACGGCTGTCCAGTGCTCCCAGGTTTCCTTTGTTCCCCCAACTGATGTCAGTCTACAATGAATAACAACTTGAAATAATTCCAAATCTCCACAACTCCCTCAAAATTTAATTGAACTTTTTACTGTTGTCCCAGTGGATTTTATAATTTAAGTTTTATACTACTGTTAGTAGTGTTATTACATAAATGTATTTTTTCGGGAGTCTTATCACCTGTAAATGTAATCCCCCAGTGAATTTATCAACATCCTACTTTTAGTGTATATTACTAATGTTGATTGTATTCCTGGTGAATATATAAGGACCTTATAAACCTAAATAATACTTTACTTTTCAGTCATTGAATCGGAACTAAGGTGTTCACAGTTATTTTTACTTCATTTCTTTTTCAGTGGCATGGATATTGTAAATATATTTCTTCAACTTTGATTCGGTTGAAATGAGTCATCTACCCTCCACCTCCACATGAATTACTTCACCGCCCCCGTGCATTGCCATCATCTTATTCCCAATGTCTTTGTGAAATACCAAGGCTGTTCATCTAATTATTCGAAAATACTATACAACTATCAACATGTATATTGTCTAATTTGCATGTTATCTTTGCTACAAGAGTGTCTTGAAGATATATGCTTAAAAAGCTGTATTTGTATGTCTATATGCATGTATATTATACATAAGTTTGAATAGAAAATGAGCTAATACCCATTAGTTTTAGTGTTATTGTCACCAGTTGTAATAAGGTCATACACGTGATAACCAAGTATTTTCAGGTGAACACATTGTAAACAAACAATAAGACAACTGAAAGAAACAATTGGATAAACAGGTATAAAGAATATATATTTACATATAGTGATAAAGAAATAATAACATTTAAACATATAATGTATCCTTTTTCTACACAAACGAAAAACAACCTAAATAACCCCTAGAGGGAGGGAAGCGAGTCAGTTAGCTTACAAGAGAGACATACCTAAATGATTACTACTACTACTACTACTACTACTACTACTACTACTACTACTACTACTACTACTACTACTACTACTACTACTACTACTACTACTACTACTACTACTACTACTACTACTACTTCTACTACTACTACTACTCACACTACTACTACTACTACTACTCACACTACTACTACTACTACTACTACCACTAATAATAATAATAACAACAGTAATTGCTTTATTACAAATAATATGTATGACAGTATGGAATTCTCAGCACGTAATTTTCAACATATTAACTCCCAGAACAATACTTTCACACGAAATGGTTATTACATCGGAATGATCCTAATAATAACAACATTGAACGCAATGATATGAAATCACCAGCTGGTTCTGGATAGACATTTGATTCGTAAATAAGAATCAACAGAAATACAGGAGTAATTTTGGTGGTGACGGTTCATTCAGACGGTTCAAATATCTACAACTCAAGCTAAGCATCTAATGAATAGAAATACGATGTACTTTTTTGCACTAAAAAGTCCATTTCAATACCGAATATCTGTTTAACAAGTTTGTGTAAACCAGTTGATTTATTCTTGCTCACTTCTTGGTCTTGCAGAAAGGTCCCAGGTCTCCGATGCAGTAGATCCAGTCACTCGTCCGTTATAGCTCTGCTATACAGAACAGAAGGTTAAGCGTTGGTTGGTTCGCTTTGGGCTGTGGTACAGTTTGCTTCTTCAGATATCGAGTTGTCAGACAGTTGGTCGGACTGGTTGTTAGAGAGAGTTAGAGATAGTGAAGAGAAAACCTAGAAAGGAAAATTTGTGTGAGTAAAAGGGGAAAGAAAAGTGAACTGATGGAGTAATCTACCTATACCCAAGTAAGACGAAAAGGTGTGCAAAGAGATGAAGAACTTAGGTAGGTAAGACTAACTTACGGCAAGTGGAAGGGATGAAAAGGACTTAAATGGTTACAGTAAAAAGAAAACTGGCTGTAGAGGTAAAATAGTTGGAAGAGTGTGACATCAATTGATTTCTTGTTTAGTTCGTGTTCCAGTTATATATGGGTAGACCGTGGGTCTCTGCATGATTGTCTAGTTTTTTTATTGAAGCTTTCAGCAGGTGGGGTGGAGATTACCTGTGTTTATAATGCATTCCAGTGCCCGCAGACTTTGAGGGAGACGAAGTGTGAACACACATGAGGTTTTGACCTTTGGTGGGTAATTCTCTTAGGATTTACACGAGGACCACCATAGTAGCCACTCGGTAGTAATCCTCTGTTCGGGTGACTTGGGTTGTTTAGTATTTGGTAAGCCATTATCAAGTTACCTTGTAGCCTTCGGTAGCTAACAGAGTATAGGCCTAGGTCTTTCAGTCTATCCTCATATGGTTTTCATTGCATCCCCACAACCCCTTTTATGGCTCACCTCTGAACCTTCTCCAGAAGGTTCATGCCTCTTTTAAGTTGTGGTGGAGCGAAGACATTATGGACCTCCAAGTGGGATCATATGTAAGACTTGTAGAGCTTCAGAAAGAGCTCTGGGGTGAGGGCACCTAGTTATCTGCGCATAAAGTGTAGTACACATTTTTTATCTGCTTTGTGATGGATTCGAAAAACGGAGAGTTGAAAACAGTTTAAAAATGTACACGAGTAAATGATACGTTCAGGGGATATATTTCAATAATTAAAACAAATTAAAAAGAAGAAATTTGATGAAAAATGTTCGGTGGATAGTTCTGATAGCTCAAAGTTCAACAGGCCACTGTGAATGTAATTTTAAGGATGAAGGTGAAGTGAATATACTGAATGAATTCAGCGTCATTCATTAGCTGATAAATTTACTAATGCATGTTCAATGATTGATCACTAGAAACAAGTACCTAGTGTCATATTCTCCAGTCCTGTGTACTGATCAAAAAAATATTAATAGTGGATGAACAACGAAAAGAGGAACTGAACACAACCTATAAAACACTATACTGGACAGAGAAGTGAAGAAGAGTGCATGGAAAGACAGAAGACACTTCTACGACACACTTACAAGTGAAGCAGAATAGGCTGCAGGTAGGAGAGACCTGACAACATTATATCAAATAACCAGGTTACTATCTGGGAGGGGAGAGATCGATACAGATGAAACCAATGAGAGATAGTGAAGAAAAGCTGGTTACCAAGGCGAAGGAACAAAGAAAACAATGGGCTGACCACTTCAGAAAACTCTTGAATCGATCACCATCACCACCTGCAACTCATCCAGAAATACTACCAGCAGCCCAGCCACAGAGTTACCAGTGAACATTAGCCTTCCGACAAAGCAGAAGTGAAGTCCTGAAAGCCGAAAAGCTACTGAAATGCGAGAAAGCAGCAGGACCAGATGGAATCCCGCCAGAATCACTGAAAACAGACGTAGAGACAATGGTGTCATGCTCACACTACAATTACACAAGGTTTGCAAGGTAAAGTATCTGCCGACTGATTGGGAGAATGGCTATCTTGTCAAACTCCCAAGGAAGGATGACCTAGGTCTTTGCAGGAACTGGCGAGGAATCATGCTCCTGTCCACCCCAAGCAAAATATTGAGCCGCATCATCCTGGAGAGACTGAAGGATGTGCTGGATTCAAAAATAAGACCGGAACAGGCTGGCTGGCTTCAGGAAGGACAAATCAAGTGCGGATCAAATTTCAACGCTACCCATCATCATAGAACAGAGTATAGAATGCCAGTCAACTCAGCTCTCTACCTCGACTTCATCGACTTTGAAAAGGCATTCGACAGCATCGACCGAGAAGTAATTTGCCGTCTGCTTCAACAATATTGTTTCAGTCCCACAAACCTTCATCAATCTCATTCAACAGCAGCCATATGCTATGCTATATGATGCTACATGCAAAGTGATTCACAATGGAAAGCTCAATGATGCCTTCAAAGTGAAGAACGGAGTAAAACAAGGCTGCCTACTATCACTGATGATCTTCCTGATTGTAGTGGACTGGATCATGCAGAAAACCATGCGGAGGGAGAAGAGGAGCATATGCTGGCTAGACCGATGAAAAGGCCCTAGAAGATGATTTGGATTTCGCCAACGATGGTGATTTATGTCTAGTATCATGTCGTACAAACTTGAAGATATACAGACAAAAACCAACAAGTTGACAGAAGAGGTGAGGCAGCGAAGACAGCATTTCATTCAAGTGGACGTAGAGAAGACACAGGTGATCAAGATACCCAACCAACAACAACAACAACAACAACAAGCACCGATCACCGTCAACAGAAGAAATTTAAGTAAGTTGTCTCTTTTACCTACCTACCTACCTACCTACCTACCTACCTACCTACCTACCTACCTACCTACCTACCTACCTACCTACCTACCTACCTACCTACCTACCTACCTACCTACCTACCTACCTACCTACCTACCTACCTACCTACCTACCTACCTACCTACCTACCTACCTACCTACCTACCTACCTACCTACCTACCTACCTACCTACCTACCTACCTACCTACCTACCTACCTACCTACCTACCTACCTACCTACCTACCTACCTACCTACCTACCTACCTACCTACCTACCTACCTACCTACCTACCTACCTACCTACCTACCTACCTACCTACCTACCTACCTACCTACCTACCTACCTACCTACCTACCTACCTACCTACCTACCTACCTACCTACCTACCTACCTACCTACCTACCTACCTACCTACCTACCTACCTACCTACCTACCTACCTACCTACCTACCTACCTACCTACCTACCTACACACCTACGTACCTACCTACCTACACACCTACACACCTAAATACCTACCTCGATACGAACATACATAGGGAGAAGACGGTTAAGATGATGTGACTGTCATCACAGTACACGGAGATTAGCTGGAAAACGGAAACATCTAGGCAAGAATTCTCAACACTTTCATACTGTGATGATAGAGAATATTTAAAGCACAGCTGGAGGATTTTGATGATTTTGTGTTCCTCAGCTGAATGATTTGATCACGAAGCCTCCACTATCAATGTAGACAACATTCTTATCACAAAGTTCCGAAAGAAGTGAGTTGTAGAGTCATAATTTCAAATAACACTCATGATTTTCTTTCTCACACTGCTGACAATTGATGACTTTTCGAAGGGTATTCATTATCAATATCAGCCAGCCAGCTAGCCAGCCAGCCAGCCAGCCAGCCAACCAGCCACACTGCCTTGTTGCTTATTATCACCATTCTCACCATATCAGCTTCAGCAACGAACCAGCATAGACACCAGCTCTTCATGGATATCTCTAGTTTGTTGGAAATGCTTTCCATAACACGACAGACAAGTCTCTCAATCATCACATACAACCACTGACTCACTTCACTGATGTCCGTCTTCAAAATCCCGATGTTGTTCACGCTTTATGCTGATTGTAGTGCAGTGCAGTGCAGTGCAGTGCAGTGTAGAAGATCTCCACACTGGTTTCAGGTTAATGCACGAAGACCTGTCTTCGTGTCTTTCCAATCCTGACTGGCTTTGACATCCTCATCCGTGGCTGTGCCACCTGTAGTTGAAACGGTGCTGCCTACTCAGGTGTAGGTGGAAGAGACTACTTCCTTCAAATTTCTCCCATTCATGGTGATTGGAGCTTGTTGATGTTGATGTTGTTGTTGATGTTGTTGTTGTTGTTGTTGGTTGGGTATCTTCATCACCTCTGTCTTCTCTACCCCCACCTGAATCAAGTCCCATCTCCACTGCCTCACCTCGCCTCTTCTACCAACTTGTTAGTTTTTGCTTGTAGATCTTCCAGTTTGTGCTATCAGACATTAGACACAAGTCATCGTTGGCGAAATCCAAATCATCTTCTGTGGTCAGCCAGCGTATCCACCTTCTTCTCGCTGCTCACTGTTTGTTGCATGATCCAGTTGAGCTGACCACAATGAGGGATATCATGTGTGATAGTAGGCCGCCTTGTTTTACTCCTGTGTGTCTCCACTTAGAAGGCATCACTGAGCTTCCCATTGTGAATTACTTGACATGTGGTGTCCTAACTGGAACTCACGAGCTGGATGAATCTAATTGTTACTGAATGATATCTCAACACTCATCCCTTCAATTATCAAAGTACTTTACATTCAGTTATTGAGTTGTGATAACCGGTCCTTGTGAAACATGTCTAGCTTGAAGTTATAGCATAATTCCACATTGTTGATCAGTCTTGACCGAATTGATTGGTTAAGATGAACATTTCGCTTAGTTTAATACTAATTAATGATGGAGTACTCAAAGTTAATAAGCCACGGTTTACTAGCAACAAAGGGAGAAGTTGACCCAATCCGGGAAACAAGATAACAACAGTGACTAGTATAATTGTTT